AAAACTAAAAAAAAAAAAAAACAATTCACAGAGAATTCAAACTTAGGTGGAAAATACTCAAGATCATCTGGGGATAAATTTGAGGTTAGCTTGATAATATTCGGTGGGGAAAAAGAGAAGTGCGGTAAGCCTGTAGAGGGCGAGGAAGAGACACGATGGGTAAACTGACTCAGCGACTCAAGGAAAAGGACAACAACACTGCTGCTGCTGCTCCGGCCAGTGAGTTATAATGTTAATAATACTACTCACTCTCCCTTCTGTTCCACCCCTTCTGTCTCTCCCTCCTTCCTTCCTTCCTTCCCGTCCTTCCTTTGTTTTTAGGAAGAGAATAAAGTTGCAATATCGGAACATAAACGACTTCCACATAAAGCAGGGGTTGGGAAACATTTGAGGTCGGAGGTCAGATTGAGATTATAAGAGTTTCTTCGGAGCCTCCTATATATTATTTCCAATGTTAATAATCTATGCAGATTTAATAGTGTAGAGACATCTTCTACCCCCCCTCCCCCCCGGGTCTCATTAAACAAAAAAGAATAACACTGGAGTATGGTAGCGGGCCACCCTCGGTTGGCCAAAAATGGTCCTGGGGCCACAGTTTCCCCACCCCTACCCTAATGACTAATTTTCGTTATTGCCTTTTGACATTTTAACCTTATTACCATAACGTTCCGATATCGTAATGGTAAAGATGATCCCCCCCGACGCCCGTCTGTTTGCCTGCAGTCTTATGTTTTCCACACAACTTAAGTTCCCTTGGTTTTATTACAACCAAATTTCACATTTTTTGTACGTGGTTGATGAACCTTGTCAAGTTTATTTCCGGTTGAGGGTCAGTAATTATTAGGAGGAAGCCTTTAGCGCCCAGTAGGACAATATAAAGTGCAGTATATTGAAGGCTCGGGGGTGGGTCTGGGGGACACTGGTGCTCCACATAACGTACTAGATTAGGTAAAACCATACATCAGGGTTGAGTTACTGTATAACTTACTTTAGCGAACAAGACAACCCCACTAGTCATGTAAGCATGCTGTGTAGCTATATTATACACATCACTGGTACAATAAATGGCAGAAACAGTTAAAAAATATATAATTGTTGGTAAGTTACAAATGTTCATTCTCACAACCGATGACGCTTTAAGCCCTTCTGGTTCTAAGTATATCATGTCTGGGAAAGTGGTTTTCAGCAGCAGTTCTTGCTGGATGTTTACATAAATATAGGAGACAGAAGGCTTGCGACCGTCTTTATCATCAGACGGCGTCTACTGTCACCAAAAGTAAAAGTTGATGGTACAACGGCAACGTGAGTATATCATATGTTCTGGGTTCGAGTCATGGCCTGGAACACAAGTGAGAAGGGTGTTATCCAGTATGACCCTACCAAACATCACAGGTTTCCTCTGGGTACTCTCTTACTCCTGTACTAACATTGGGCAATAAAGTTTATAACAAGCAACAAAGAACAGACCAACCGCCTGGACGGCTATTGAGCTGAGAAGTGGTGAAATGATAAATTAAAACGAAATTATTAGAAGGGCTTTAAACTGCAGGTACAGTATTTGAAATTTTGATGAATATAGTGTGGGGAAGGTAGTGGGTGAGGAGAGCCCATGTTGTGGCTCTTGTGTTGCATAGCGTCGTGTGTGTAGTCTGTGCAGCAGGTGTGAGTGTGTGTGGTGCGCATATACGGCAACAAGTGAGAGTGTAACATTAACCAGGAGGTGGTGGTGGAGAGTGACTGGTGTACCGAGACCATGATAACACTGACCACAACACACTCACATTGTCACCCCCTCCCTCTCCTCTTCCTTTGTTGTTGTCTCTCCTCTACTCTCCCTCTGTTGTTATTTCCCTCCCTCTACTCGCTTTCATCTCTCCTCCATCCCCAGTCTTCTTTTCCAATACTTTTCCAGCTATTCATATTTCCTCTAGCACACACACATACAGTAATATAAGGTAACCATCCATACTGCTCAAGGTGTGTGTATGTGTGTGTTACTGAATATTGAGAAAGGAAAGTAGATATGGCAGCCGTCTGTGTGTGTATTTACTTATGACCGACTCTGTTTACACTGATCAAACAGTTTGTGGATGATTTAAAGCAAACTTAGATGAGTTCATACACATTATTGTGTAGCTTCGTTGTCTGATTTCTGAAGACGCAAGAATGATTAAACACACAAATAACATCCTGAAGTAACATAATAATTACACCGAGGGTCAACCTTAATTAAAATACGATTACTTGGTACGTGGCATTTAAAAAACGTGTCTAATTAGAGTGATTTTTATGTTAATTATTTTTGTTACTTTTATATTGTTTTGTTAATTTTTTGCCTTGTACACTTCTATTGTTTTATCATAATGCTATTCTTTATATTGTTTCTTTCATCGTCAGTTACTAGGAATATTCACTTTACGAATTTATGTGACTAGGCTAGGATTAGGCTCTTGAACTTACAGCGTGGCGGGAATTTGATTAATATAACATTAAGAGACATTTACTACGAATTATTATTATTACCCAGCCTGTGTTTTAACCCTGTAAGAAGTATTCACCTCATATTGTGAATGAGTGTGAAGTTTGTTGACCTGTGTGTGGTGTGGCTCGTGGGAAAACCTGTGTCTGGCTGGCTGGTTGCTCATACTTGAACTCACCCGTGGGATTTTTACACCGTCTGGCTCACGGGGTGATGATTACTTGTCACAGTAGAAAGTTTAAAATTAGATATATTCCATCAGTAGTGTTTTAAATACTGTTATGTAGTCTCCTATAGTACCGTCCTTGCACCCGGAACGTAAACCTTAATTGATGTCCTTAAGCATATTTAACTATACTTAATTATGGTTAACTACAGTACTTACTAGTCTTTACTTCCCCAAATTATACTTAACTACCCCTAACCTAACCTATGGTACCTTATTTTATACAGCCCACAAATTTACCTAATCTAACCTTGCCAATCCTATTTAATCTTACCCTCTAACTTACCTAACTTAAAATTACATAATCTACCCTAACCTAGCCGCCCCCCCCCCCCACACAGAAGGCACAGTAAAGGTAAACCCCCAGTTAACACTACATATAACATGCTTTCTATAAATTAAAAAGTCTTCCATTTTAAGTCTTTGTCCATAAACTTTCATGCACCGTATTGTCTGCAGGGTTTAAACAGGATTTCAAAAGGTGTTGATTTGTAAAGTTTTGGATATGTGGGGAGGTTGTGTCGTCAGGCAATTGTGATTGTACAGTCTTTGTCTTTTCTCTTTTGTGGGAAACTGAATCAAGTTTTTATTATGTGACAAATGTTGTAACCCTAGTACAGTAGAGCGTGTAAGGTGTGAAGGAAAATGTGTCAGTGTTTCCTGGATGTTATATACTAGACCATCCTTGGCTTTATTCTCTATGATGATGTACTGTACAGTACTGTATTAAATACGGTTCAGCTGTCTTATAATTTATAAACAAGTAAAATACAATTTAACTTTTTTGTTATCTGTCTCTGTATATTTCGTAACATTTAATCTTGTCATTGTTATCAGTGTCTTGTGGTGAGTGACACCAGTTAAATGGCAGCAGCAAATTAATGGCGTCATGCAGTTGTGAAACAAAGTGATTACCAGTGACTCAATGATGTCTTCATTTTACAATTTTCACTAGTTCTCAAATCAAGTTTGTGCATACTGTACTTATGTTTAAGAGGGGGGGGGGGTGAAGATAATGACTGAACCACCCATTAAGGGGTCCAGTGTAGGAGAGAAAATCATTCCTAGAGGTCGACTAACAACCGACTCTGGCTTTTGTGGTCCAGCTGTACTCACACTATAACAAACACGTCCATAAGAGCAGACCTCAGTGGGTCAATCTCTGTGCCTTGTGCACTCGTGAGCACTGAACACTGCACAATACATGAGCATTTTGTAGCTTCAGTTGAGACAAAATTACTCTGGTAAAAAAATACATTCCAGCATTCCCAAAATACATAAATGGAAAAAAAATATAATTTCACCACTTTTCAGCTACGTAGCTGTTTGGGCGGTTGGTTTGTTCTTCGTTACTTATTTTATGAACTTTATTGCTTTGTGTTAGTACAAGAGGAAACTGGAGTACCCAGAGGAAACCTGCCACCCTTCTCACATCTGTCCTGGGCCAGGACTTGAACTCATGACATTTAGTGAGAGATACATGCGTAACTGTTGTACCACCAACATCCCCTCATAAACCCCTTCACTACGGGGGCGCCACTTTTAATATTTCATTTGAGTAACACCAGGCGATTTTATTCAGTGATTTACATCTGATTACAGGGTATATATTTGTGTTCACTCATTCATATTGATCTTTCTTTCATCCAATTAAGATTTTAATTAAACATTTGCTATAAGTTTTAACAATTGAAGTTTGGTCTGCATATGTGAGACTAAAAACCCCTGGAACAGTTCGACTTCCTGCTTATTATTTATAAGACAAAAATGTTTATCACAAAAAAAGGAAGTAGCCATTTTTTTTTCTTTCTCTCCACCATGCTATCTAAGGTACTTCTTAACATGTTACTTTAGCAACATACAATTTGACTAATACAGTACTGTACTGACTATAATCTGGTAGGTAATGTTCAAAAAGTTGAAAGATCTTCACCATGGGAGGAATTGGGAAGATGAGACTGAAAGAGGGGCTCTTGTCTAATTGTCAAGTACAGTACAAGTGATAAACTTTTTCTCCCAAAATCCCCTGTTTCATAATTAAATCATAATTTTACCCAATTTAATTTACATTTAAGTTACAATTCAAAAACAGATCTCAGCAAATGTAATCTTTATATTATAACTTATACTATAATTATGAACCAAGTAAACAGGTTCTCACATTTTTTGGTACAAGAAAAAAATTAATACATGAACTTTTGAGAAGACTGTAAAGCCCTGGTAAGTTGTTTATTCCTCAGTCATAGGCCATACCTCCATATTATCTATAAGTAATGAATGATTCTTCCTCCACAGCCAACAAGAACTGGCTCCACCCCCCAGAGGCACTACAGAAGGGACACATTGCCTACCTGGTCAAGGTGAGCTCTACTTATCTTGATGGCCATATTGTTTTCCCTAGAACGATTTCTTCTCCATTTATCACAGTGCATCCTTTATTCTAAATACTATAGTCTTAATTGCCAACTTAACACCCCTGCAATCTTGTCTTAATGATCCTTCAACACCCTAACACTCTTGTGTCCATTAATTAATTGCCTTTTCTACACTGTAACAACCTTCTTTCTCACATATATAATAAACCTTTAAGTACTAAACACCTTTAATGAATTCTCATACAAACTAATTAACATTGATGTTCCTTACTTGTCACTAGTGATGGTTAACTGATGCAGAGTATTTAGATTGTGTTATACCTTAATTCTTATTTGTAGTTTATCTTGAACTTTTACATTTACTTTTAAACACAGGTCTCCATGTGTTCATCAGATCTCTTTTAAAAATCCAGACATGATGGGAAAGCATAAACCAATTTTCATATGACTTCCAAATACCAGCACAGTACAGTATGTTTTAAACTTAAGAATCTAGGTTTTCAACTCCAGGGACTTATTGATTTCATGACTTGCCCAATCCAGGCTTGGTTATAAAAGAGGTTTTCAGGATAACATCCCCCTCCTTTTTTTTTTTCTTGTTATTAGTTCCTCGGGAGCACAGAAGTTGACCAGCCAAAGGGCATTGAGGTGGTGAAGGAGGGCATCCGTAAACTTAAGTTTAATCAGCAGCTGAAGAAGGCCGAGGGCAGCAAGACCCCCAAAGTGGAGCTGACTGTGTCCATCGATGGCGTCGCTATTCATGAACCAAAAACTAAGGTGAGGCATTTATCCGTTCTAGACTATTTTCAATCTTTTTTTAATACATTTCTCCTTGACTGATAAATGGGGAATCTTAAGACTAGAGCTGTAGTCACATAGTAATGTTCAAGAATTACTCTATTATTAATCTTTTCTAGTCAGCTTGTTTTAAATAACTAAAATATTTCATTAATTTTACCTCCTCACAGTGGCTTGAGGATTCACCTGGGTGCCTTTGGGGTGTCTGCTTCAGAGGATTGAAGTTGTATTTTGTTGTTATATTCACTGATCACAGAAGGCCATTCACCTGACTGTGGTAATATGACATATGTTGTTTACTTTATCCTAATATATTCTTGTTTTTGTAATTGACACAGCGTAACCTGCACCAGTACCCGCTACACAGGATTAGTTACTGTGCTGATGACAAGGCAGAGAAACGGTTCTTCAGTTTTATCGCCAAGGAGGCTGACTCTGATAAGCACACATGCTTCGTCTTTGTTAGTGACAAGTTGGTAAGTCTGATCAAGGTGCTGAATGATAACAGTGCTAAGTGTTATGGTTAGTCTGTTGCTGGTTGGTTACTTTGTTGACTGACACTTGTTAGTTGGCTGGCCTGCCAGTTGTTTAGCTGATTGTTTGGCCTGTGTTCAGTAATGTTATTTATTCACAAGCAGTGAGTTTGAGATTTCTTTGAGGATTTTTATGAAAAGAAGACTCCGTGAAATTGAAAAGATGATACATATTGATATTGTGAGTTAGTAAAGCTCTAACTGAGTGCTTCAGTTACTGTGCACAGAATTTCACATCTTTATAAAACAACTGAAGTACCTATACTACTGTAAACACTCCATTCAAGCTTCTAGTTTTATTCCACACGAAATTTTTTCCCTTTCAACAAGGCTTTTGGGGTTTCTCCAACTTTTATTCTGTGGATGTCTGTATTCTCAACTCCTAATTTCCTTTCTCTTAATCATATTTTTATATCTTGACACCAGTTAGGAGATACACTTGTGAACATTCCCACCAAAGCTTCCAGATTTTTTCCCAGCAAACCCCAAGGTTCTGTGTATGACTAGACAATACCTCCTGAATTTTAAAGCCTGTATTGTATCCCAGTTTGTACAGAATGGATTAAGTCTAATGGGTGAGAGGGTAGACATACCGGGTAGTGTAAATATTTTCCGAACTTTAGCGTGCAATACAAACTACTGTGCCTAAAAGTGTGCTTTTGTTTTGACCACAAGTTAAGTACCATTTTGTTAATGCCATGTACAGTGTATTATTAGGTTTTCTATAGGCATAATCAGTTCTGATTGTACTTTTAATAAGTTATTCTTTGCAGGCTGAAGAAATCACCCTAACAATTGGTCAGGCCTTTGACTTGGCGTATCGGCGGTTTGTGGAGACATCTGGCCGTGAAGTTGAGATGCGGCGACAGCTGCTGTTGCTGCAGAAACGTGTGCAAGGGCTGGAGGACGAGAATCAAACACTCAAGACACGCATCACACAGTTGGCTACTCTTAAAAACAGACCTGATGTGGAGGACTACATGAAGGAAAACAATGTGAGTTTCATATTGAAGCTTGTGGTCAGATTCCTATCATTTACCTGTTCTGCCAGTCGTCTAGATGTTCCTTACACACACACATGCATGCAAGCCATTTCCTACTCTTCTGTGCGTTGTAAATTGAGGGCGTATGAGTTTAACAGCAGCTTACACTATTCAGAATGTGGTGGCTGGGTGGACACAACATTGACAAGTTGTTCAAACAGGACTGATTCAACGTTTAGCTAAAATAGTATGTAACCTTGTCTGTCTGAATAGTATACAGTAATCTCCTGTTAAACTAAGCCATCTAGAACACAGTGAAAGCATTTAGTGGAATGATTTGTAAAAGAAAATAGACCTAATGACTTAGCTTGTGATACTTTACTTATGATGATGAACGTGCATGTAAAAATAAGAGCCTTAATGTTAAAAATATCAGCTAGAGAATTTAGATTTTTTATTTGTTTATCACTGTAACTGTAATATTTATTTTATACCTTGCATAAGAAAGATTAAGGGAATAAGGTTAGCTTCAGTAAATAAGGTCACAGGTGTACATTGTATGTTTTCCCTGGTATTGGATTCTTGTGAGTTTGGAAGTGGATGCCCTAACAAGTTGAAGCAAATTGTTTCTCTTCCATCTATGCAATATTTTTTTTTTATGTAATAATAATTTTAAAGTTAACTATGTCATGTTCAGTAAATTTGTGTTGTCAAGTCTATTGAATTTATCTTTCATCTCTTGTACAGTATCTCCAAATTATTCAAAATATTCATTGACCCTGACAGTTATGACAGTTGTAATGACACATTCTTCCAGCATTTCTTTCAATAACTTGTTCTGTTTACAGATATCTGATTTACTGACACTAAACGGTGAGAGCAGCACTGATCCTGAACCCTCGTTTGAGCCTCTAGCCTCCAGCAGCGCCCTCGGCCCACCGCCCATCCCACCACGCAACACACCCAAGCAGGATGATGATACTGCGCTCATACAGTAAATAGCATTGAATTTTTATCTCTTCAATTAAACTTATTATTTCCTTGGTGAATTTTGACAATATTTTTGAAGAACCTTCATTTGTTTCGGAATTTCTTTGTGTTAAGTGCAAAGATAAAAGTCACACTGGAACCTTTTCACGTAGTTTTCAGAAAAAGTCTGTGAATTGACGTAATAGTACTGTACAATAATCTCCAGCCTGTCAAGGTAGCTCAACTTGCACAAAGCACAATTTGCAGAGGGGATTACTATAATACTGTTATGGTATACAGGTATATTAAAATAGTTGCAGTACAAGACCCACTTCATCAATGGTAAATTCATACAAGGTACAGGAATTACTGTGGATGCATACGTGATGGAATTTGTATGACTAGACAACTTACAAAACTTTTCACCTATAAGGGACATTTATAGTATTACAGTACAGTACAGTACTTCACTCTGTTATTTGAGATGTAATTTGGGTTTTATCTAAATAATTGTATTCCTTCAGGGACATCTTATCAAGCCCACTAACTTCAAATGGTGCTGACGAGGATGATTTCAATCCACGGGCAGAAGAAACACTATTGTCTAAAGTGGGTGGCACAAACAGCTTCTCTAGTAATGGTAGTCATGAGGCTCATGATGAGGATGATGATTTCAACCCCCGAGCAGAAGAAAAGAAGCCTCCTTCATTTACTGCTGTACCTCCACCTGAATTGAATGGCTTTACTTCTCCACCAGCTCTTGGTAACTGTCACATTTTCATTTTAAAGTAAAATATTGAAGTGTGTGTGTGTCTGTTTCTGTGTGAGTGTGTACAGTACATGTGTGTGTATCAGAACCTATAATGTACACAGGTAAATCAATGTAAAGGAATTTCACCTCTGGTTGTTAGGATTCGAATCCAGACCACTAAGGTTGTCAGTGGATATCTGCCTGACTGGCCAACCTTTGTGGTCCAGGTTTAAATCCTGGCACCCAGAGGTGAAATTTTTTATGTCTGTATGATTGTTCGTAATTCCAGCTGGCCAGAATTATTGCAAGAAAAACTCTGTAAGAGTGGAAGAAATCTATGGTGATTTGATTCACAGCAGGAGTTCACTGCAACAAACATATCAGAAAAGATGTGTTACTAAGGAATTTTACAACTGCCAAAAATTCCTGGATTTTTCTTTCAGATTCTAATGCTAAAACACTGTCAATGATCAGACTATTTGTGCATTTTAATCTTTTCAAATTTTTTCACTTACTAAACCCACATTTGTTCTTTTATTTAGAATTTACAGGTGATACTGGGAATGGTAGACAATAGAACTAGAACAAACGTTTTTGCCTTGGAGAGTATACTAGCCAGGTCCATTATTCTGTCTTTTCATGAATCATAAGTGAATAATGTCACCATTGTACCCCATCTCACTAATCCACTGCATTGTCTACTACATAAAGAAAAATATATAAATGCCAAGCGTGTCCAAGTGTTTTTATTACTGTCAAAGCCGTCTAGGACTTTCATGTCCTTAAAGGAAAGATCTGTTCCTGTCCTCAAAGCAACAAAGGACAGGTTATCCTGTCCCTTCTGCACCAATGTACCGGGTGTCTGTATAGCCACTGTCATGTTGCTGTACTGTACTGTGCCTTGAACTCTCATTCACTAAAGGGGTAAAACAAACACTATTTGCCCATTTTTATCAGATGAACAGGAAGGTCTGGGTCACTGAAGCTGTCTTCATGGACTGAGAATAATGGCATGTTTTATCACAACTAAAATTCTAATATTTTCATAAATTTTTATTTATTTTTTTATTTTATTTTTTATAAGTTTTTCACAGTGTGTTTTGTGGCCGGTATTTATCATTTTATATGTATTTAGTTTTACAACATGTTATTGAATTTTATCAATTTAATACCAAATATTTTTTTTATGTTGGCAGTTCCTCCGCCTCGGCCTGTTCGGGCTCATGAGCAGGCTCTAAACAATGGTCTGTCAGATGATATATTTGACACATCTGGGGATCCATTTGGTTCTGTGGCATTCTCTCCTCCTAGCAACAGTGGTGATGCCTTAGCACAGTTCATTGAGATGAAGGTGAGCATTTGCATGATGGCTTGAAATATGTTTTGTTTACTTTAACTAAGTTATAGCTTGAAAGTGGCCATTACTTTTTAGATGATACAAGTATGTTATATATTTGTGGCCTCCTGGGAATTCCTTAATTTCCATGATTCATGGAATGGTTTTCTCCCCATTGAATCCCTGAAGGTTGTGGCAGCTTCTCCGTCGGGTATGTGACTGAGAATCTAGGCTGTCAGGAGGGAAAGGTGGAGACATGTCTGGTATACAGTGGTCCCTCGGTTAACGAATTACCTTCCATAAGGATATTCAGTTCGGTTAACGAAAAAAATTCGGTAAACGAAATTCTTACGAAAACGTTTCGACATGCTTTGGCTTGCTCACCAGCTGGAAGATTAGTCCGCCAATACAGAAATCGGTTCTAGGGCTTACATTCGTTAAAATTGGAGTAAATATCAAGAAGGTTGTACTATTCAATAATTTTCCAAGTTTTATATTAAAATTTGTAGTCATTTTAACACTTATTTAACATAATTGCAGTACAGGGAACTAGTTTTTGGTGTGCTCAACAGCCACTTCACTCACCCACCAAGGCCTCAGTTTGTATCTCTGTTCAGTGGAAGAAACATCTTGCTTGTGGGTCACTTGAACACAGAGTATTTTTACGTTTTTACAGTACAATTATTGGTCATTCTGAAATTTATTTAACATATTGACAATATATAGTGCAGTGCAGTGTTGATTTAAAGAAAATAATCTTGAATTACACCTAGTGAACTTAAAAATTTTATGGGTTAAATGACGGCATGAAGCATGGGGTGATTTCTCTTCCATCCTCACTTCCTTCTCTTCTCCCTTCTCCTCCGCCCCCACTTCTAATTCCCATCATCATCATCATCAACCAGGAGCCTTCTACATACACACCTCAAAGTAAGTGTACTTTACTGCATTTTTTTTTTTTACTTTGTATGTAATTTTCGGTGAGCTGGAACCAATTACCCAAAATCCCATTGAAACATTGGTTTCGGTTAACCAAATTTTCGGTTAACGAACGACCTTCTGAAATGAATTGTGTTTGTTAACCGAGGGACCACTGTATTGGAAGCGTAATGTGTTGTCTAATGGTAGACCCTGCTGCCATATGGCATCACGAAAATTGTGACCAAGTCCCAGGTTGCTGATCTGTCTTTCTGCCTCATTTACACACAATTGCAGGGTCTCAATTGTTTCTCTTACATGACAACACAACATACATATACAGTAATAGCATTTCTCACTATTGATTTTTTTTTTCATTCTTGTATTTCTTTGTATTTACAGTATTATTATTATTATCACAGTGTTATTATTATTATTACCATTAATATTTTATTTTACTTTGTATGAATTATTATTATTATTATTACATTTTTGCCCCACAGGCCCCGATGTGGGTCAGTGACCTGTGCCCGGGTGGGCTAATTCCCTTAAAAAAATAAATAAATAAATAAATAAATAAAATTAAAATAAATAAATAAATAAATAATAATAATAATAATAATAATAATAATAATAATAATAATTAGAGAATTGGGGAGGAGATAGGGGAATAGAGAAGAAAAAAAATATTGAAAGTGTATCCTGGAGGCTCTTCAGTTGTGGCCATGACCTCAGAGAGTAGTATAGGGGTTTAGTGGAACAGGTATAATATGGAGGTACGTACTGTACAGTATAAGAAGAAAAGGTAGAAAGTCAACAAATTCCTCTAAATTTGGTCCATGGCTGATAAATGCATAATATTCATCACCAAGAGTGAGAAAGAGTTATGGAAAATGGCTGATGCTTTTCAGAAACAGTATTATTACATTAACTAAAGACAGTGAATTGTAAAATGTACTGATGCAAGATCTTTTAACAGGCCGGGTTCAGTCGTGGACTATCCTTTGGAACCGCAGATGATGACTTTACTTTGGAAAGTTTGGATCCACTGAAGAATTAATAGGCAAGGATCAGGTATTTAAGCCTGCCTCACAGAAATACTCCCTGGGTTATAATTTTATCTTCATTATTATGTTATTTGGTGTGTGCTGTTGCCGCTAGACAGTGGGACAGTATCAGCCTGAACCAGAATGGGCTGTGATACTTTGATACAAACTAACAGAGGTAGCACAAATTCTCCATCAAGTACTGAAGGGTATTAAATTTTATTTTTGCAGACCTTTTTCCCTTTGCTGTATTATTACCTGCCTGGAGCTGAGCAAGTAGCTATATATTTATGCTTTTCATAATATAAATATAAATGAACAAATTGTAATAACTTGGTTCATCATTTAACCTTCTCATGGCAGCCAGTTAATTTTTGATATATATAATTAGCTCCTTTAAGTTATGCTGTAAATAATATTTAGAAAGGTTTAATGTTTTACATGCTTCACCTGGGATAAATATGGTGAGAGAACAAATAAACTATAGTCATTATCATCTCAAGTTTTGGAGTGAGCTTTTATCATTGCCATTACCACTTGGTGAAAATAACATTCCATTTTAGTAGTTCCATTACATTCCTTGTGGGAAGGGAACACACATCTTATGAATTAATATTTGTTCATCTCACTAAGCACAACTAGTGTTTCATTATGTAGTTTGAAGAACATGGGAATGTCACTGGTGGATAATGTCCTGTGACCCAGAAATAATTCAGTATTGTTGCCAATATGCTCACATGAATTTTTGCTGCAACTAAAATAAGTATTAATAATCAAAAAGTATTATAAAAGTAATAACTGCAGGAGGTTAGAAATTTCAAGCACTGTATTTAAGGAATATTACGTAAAAATAGTATGATGGAGAGTGAAATTGGGTAAATAATATTGTAAGGGAGGAGAGTGATGAGAGCTGGAAAGTAACAGTGGGGAGGAACTTAAGCTTAGAGGTAATAAAGGAACTCAAGAGATGATATAATATTTCCTGTATTAACTTACATGAAGCAGAATGCTCTAAAATTTAAGGTACAGAGATGAGTTATATAAGTGTTGGAATGGCAGAGGGTGTTGACTGTGGTGTGGTGGAATGAGTTACGAGAGGTTCTCTGAGATGGTATAGTCATGTGAGAAGGATGCAGGTGAGGATCATAGTTAAGAATGTGTGGAGGGGCAGTGTAACAGGTGTGTTGGTAGAGGGAGACACCTGCAGCACCAGGTTGGAATAATATATAAAGAGAAAAGGGGATGGGTGAATGGGATTAAAGGGGCCAAAGGGACACATAGTGATAGGATGGCATGAAGGCTCTTTCTGTCATGACCACCTCTTCAGAGAGGAACTCCCTGGAGGAGTATGGCTTCACAGAAAAGATTAGAGGAGGTTAAATAATACATGGCCATCATTATAGTCTTAAAGATGGAAAGACAATTAGTGATATACATTTAGGGAAATATATGACTTTGGAAGGTAAAGATTAATATAATTTTACTGAATCTATAAGAGTACATAGAGTAGGTAGAACTAAACATAATTTGTGGTTTAATTACCCCATTATGCAGAAATTTGGGCAAATGTTTCACATGCTGCTTGTGGTTGTGACATTGAACTGTGTGTGTGTGTCAACACACAATACTGAATTGCAGATAGAACTAGTTCTTCTGTATTCTGTAATGTCAGGAGCACTTTGGTAACGTTTATTATATACACATTGTGATGAGGTTTGATAGAATATTTGTAGAATTAAACAAGTTTAGATAATAATAATTAATGATTTCTCCTTTACTCAGTATTTTAATGTTTGTTAAAAGACCTTGTTGGTGTTTCAGACAATATATCTGAAGAAATATTTATGAGTTTATAAAAGCATAGCAGAGTCTATTGTTAATTGTTTATATATTAAAGAGAAAGCCATCCATTCTGGAGATGTAATATATATATATATATATACATATATCCATATAGATATCTATTATATGAAGAAAGCTTATAGGTATAATATACTGTTTACTCTAGGTTCACTAAGTTATTTTGTTCATGCAGTGATAATGCTAATGTCATTTATCTCATTCCCAACAAAGCAGACAAACATGGTGGGTGATGAGGAATTAACTAGTTTGGAAAGACGGACTTAGTGCAGCTACAGCTAACTCTCATACTGCAGTGTATGGCAGTGGCTGGTCACCTTACTACAACATGAAGCTGCTATAACAGTCAGGCCACTGTATTTCAACACATAGTTGCATTTAGAATAAAAATTGGGGCATCACATTGGAGCATATGGGTGCCTCTAGCATTATAGTTTGGTCACCATACTGTAATTATGGATCTGCTTCTTTATAGCAGGACCATTATATTGCAGTGTGTGGCTGCCTCTAGCATTATAACTAGACCATCAGCCTGCAGTATATATATGGTCATAGACTTATAGCTTTACCATCATAATGCAGTATATGGACACAACCCTAATTAGTATTATAGGTAGCCATCATTCTACAACATATCACCCACAAATTCTTGGTGCTGTTCACATGCCTATACATTTATTTACAGTTACTAGTGTTGCTGTAAATATTTAAAGATATTTTGCCCAAAAGTATCTCATACAAATCCAGGTTTCTTACAGCCTCAAGCAGAAACACAACCTGTATTCAATTGCTGTAATAAAATTTTAATATATAAAAAGTAGCCTTTGATGTAAAATTGTTAGATGTTTTTTATGCAAAAAAATATATATATAAATTGTGGAACTCAGGAGGCTGGGGGTTGAATTTTTTTACAATAGATGAACCTATATTTTTTACAAAGGTATGAATCTCAGAGGCTTAAGTTAACTTTTTGGCTTGTTGGCAAATGCTTTACCCGCAGTGAATTTTTTAATGTTAATACCATTAATGATTGCTAATGCTGCAGCCACAGATGACTGCTTGTTGTTTTGCACTCACTATTTTCAGAGTAAGTACATTTAATTTTATTTGTGATAAAATGAACATAGAGCCAATGGTAATTGTACAATGCTGGAGTTGCTGGTGCTGATGGGTGTCCTGGTGATTACAGGCAGATGTACATTGTTTCAGTGATGAGATCAGTGTTCCTTTATTTAGATAAAAGATAGGTCCGCATCACCTAGGACCCACAAATCCAACATTAATCCCCCCCGCCTTGGAAGGGGACTTTGGTGTTCACAAATCATCAGCAACTTTGTCTCTTAACAGTAGAAAGAAGATTGATATCCCTCAGAACTTTTGCAGTCATTAAGGGAAAAATAATTTGGTCAGGAATATTAAACTACTCGTACTGTATATTGACCCAAGTACAGGACTGTGAAATTTCAATTACTGGACTATACTAAAAAAAAAAAATTAAATTTTACCCAATATTATTGGAACTACAGTATTCAACAGATGTTTGAATTTGAATGGTAGTTGTTTATTATTTCCTGGTCAGTTAAAGGCCTAGTTTGATCAAGAGGTTTACAACAAATTTGGGATCATCAAAATCCCATAAGTTAGGTCCTACCTAATCATGACAAGTGGACTTAGTTCTAGAATGTTGCAAGTCAAATGCACAAGGCCTCTAGTAATCAAGGCCATGGCGTAGCTACAATCCTGAATGATCCAATTTTAAGTATTGTACACTGAGACCAACAATAAAAAGTTAATGTTTTGTATGTTCTGAAGGAATAGAGAATTGTAAATCACAATATGACTGCTTTAGATAGCCGACAATCAGTCACTTAACTATAATGTCAGGAGAGTTAATTTTATTTATCCTTTTACAGATGATGTTTAATTTTATTTGATATCTTGTGAAAAAGGTGGACATTATTTTATGCAGTAATTAATATATGGGGACTGAGAAGGTCTGGTATAAACCTTGTCAGTTTTGTAGTGGGCCAGATATATCACTGGACAAGCACAATATTTACTTTATGTTAATGATGTCACAATTAAGGTCACTAATTACACAAAATTAAATACACAAAAAAAGGTCAGAGTATACTATAATTTTTCCTAGTGCACAGTGGATTAATGTAGCATGACTACAATAAAGAGAATATTATAGTCTTACAACACAGGTTACATTCCTTGGTAAAACTGTGAAATAATTTCTCCCTTATATTTTATATCATTATTTTAAACGTTACTCTTCTTCCATACAATCATGCACATTGTCAAAACTCTTGTAATGTCTCCGCTGGTGCAGTAGTTGGTTGTGAAAGGTATTCTGCTTTATTTCTTGATGAGATCTTAGCATTATGTTACACTTGAACTGTTTTGTTCTTTGTTTTTTGGTGTTCATCCATTTCTTTGTTAAAAATCATGGGATAGTTTACACTCTAGTTAATATTAGTTGTTGAGCACATTACATGAGGTAATGATGATGTGATGAATCCCACACAGAGGTTGTTTCAGCTTTTGTGCATATGATGATACAGCAGCCATCACCCAGATATGGTTAAATTATCAGGACTGGATGTTCTAGAATCATTGTCAGTGTCTGACTCATCACCCTTCTTTTAGCTGTGTCAGCTAACTTTATAAATACAAATCCTGATTGACTCACTCACTCATGAGACCCTTTTGACCAAATCCTGTTGATGCAGCTTATAACCAATTCTTTGTTACCCTTATGTCTTACAATTACAGTATCAGGTCTTCTCTAGACTTTCATCTTTACATTTCCTGGAGAATATATGACCATCTGGGACTGTTCATTCCTCCCTACCTGAACTTCTTCACTGCCTCACCACAGCTTAATATCATACTCATCTAAGTCTGAGCATATTCCAAAGTAACATTTGCTGCTGTGCAGTTGACTGTTCCTTGTATATAATCTGTTAATTTTCTTGATGTCTTAGTCTTCTATTTGATCAGTTTACAAGAAGACTTTCAGTATTCTATGAAGTTATTGATGCATTGTTTTCTTTGCTCTCTTCTTTTGTATTTTTTCATATTACTGATTTTCTATCCAGATATTATGATATAGAGCTGAGATTTCTTCTGTGTAATGTACTAGACTAACATTAACTTGTAGTGTCTGTAAATAAAATGTATATATACATATATCTGGATATCTTTCTATATTTACCCTTTAATGGTGAAAATCTGTTTTTCTAGAGTTTTGCAATGTCTTTCTTTCCCACTATGAAGCATGGAGGCCAGACAAAGAAAAGCTCTTGATGCCGTTTATTCATTCACTTTATTAAAACAAGCGTTCATGAACCTAGAGTAAGCGAATAAATGCTGTTAATACCAGCCACCATGTCTCACAGCCAGAGTAAACGTGGAAGAAGGAAAAGGACAATTTTGTTTTTTATGTAATAATTATTTTTTTTTTAAGATTTACATTGAAAGACAATGATACAGGAATAAACAATTGTCCAGAAAGAAGATTTGATGTGATAAGAAAATATTAAGACATTGTTCTTGAGTTATGAAATTTATTGATGTGAATATTAAAATGGGCACCTTTAGTATGTAAAAGGAGTTGTGGATATAAAAGAATGACAATATAAGATTATAATACAACAAGGCTCCAGGAGTGAGTCAAGTAAAATACTGTACTGGAGTGACAAGAGGATATAACAGTAATGATGACCTTGAAGACAGCCAGGAATGCATTTCATGTAACCCAAGAATGCTCTGGAAAAATGTCACACAGTCATGAGAATTATGGTGCATGAGCTATGTAACACAATTATTGGTCCACAAAATGAAATGTAATTATGTAATGTCACAAAAAACATATTTCCAATAAAAACATAACCAGTGATAAATCCTAAGTTAGCCGAGGGTAACAAGATATTGTGGACAGTGTAATATGGGAGAGAATCAATACTGATGCTGCCATTAAAACAGTACTAAAAGATATGCAAAAAAGGTCCCACAGACCTAACAGTATGTAAAGCAGTGCGGATACAGCACACTGAATGCTAAGTCTTTCGTACACAAGGAGGCAGTGTGGCTGGCACTGCACTCCATATCCTTTTCCTTCCTCAACTATAAAGTCAGGAACTGTACCCATTTACAGCTGGGTGAACTACTGTAGGGATGCCCTCAAATGAAGCAGTGGCATTTAGACTAGCAAGTGTGTGTTATAGCCACTCAACCACCACACCCCTACTAATAAACATAGGAATGCAAAAGATCACATGAACACCAGACTTAGTGCAGAAAAACATCAATCTTAGGGTCTAGGTAGAGAATGACTGTCTAAAGCAGATCTCTTGTGAAGACAAAATAAGGGAGAATACCCAAACAGACCAAGTGACCAGAGATATCTTGAGGGAAGGGAATAGGATGGTACTGTACACAAAGCTATGACTGTAGAATGTGGACAAGGATTCGAAAAAATGTACATGAGTGTTGAAAAAATGGACTGTGTTAGGAGCATGTGATGTACCGTACAAAGAAAACTGCAGGAAGAGAGGGAAGTTTCAGACTACAGGTAAGTGTGTCAAAGCTGCCAGAGATCAGCGGGTTACCTTAAGCTATGAGAGATGAAGGTGGTAGAGGAAGGACACCATTACTAGAGGAGTTACACGAGACAGACAAGGGGGGGGGGATAAAAGAGAGACATGGAGGGAGAGAAGACACAATGAGGCATTAACAAGGTGGTGGAGAGACAAGGAGGTAAGAGACGAGGAGTAGACAGGAAAGAAGGGAGAGGAAACATGAAGGAAGAAAAGGAGAGACAGAAAGAAGAAAAGAGACAGGAAAGAAGAAGAGAGACACAAGAAAGAAGAAAGACAGAAAGGAAGAGAGACAAAGTTAGAAGTAGTCACATTAGATAACATGAAAATACTCTAATGTTATTTGCTTGCACTTTTAACTTTGGACTGGGGGAGGGGCGAGTGTGTTGTGGTGAACAAAGGGGTGGTTAGGGCGGGAGGAAAGGGAGTCAGAGAGGGGTGATGGTGGGATGTGGTTTAGGGGGTGGGCGGGGCTAGCACGCCCCTCTCCTACAACGGTGGTGCGCGCGCTTCTCGGCTGGTGGAGGTGGGCGACAGTGAACCAGTGCTCTCCGTGTCGCCGGGGTGTGAGGGTGTGAAGGGCCGGTGGGTATCGTTGTCTCGTTCCCACTTAACTGGCGGTATAACTAGCAGTTGTGTAGACACTTCATATTACGGAGGGCAGCAGACAGATAGTTAGTGTGGTGGAACTGTGAGTGGACGTGTGGATCGACGCAGGGAAGGTTGAAGCGCGGCCACACAGCCAAGTATCTGCCAAACACTTCATCACTCACTGACAACACAGCTAAAAATTTAATTTACATCTACTTGTACGTAGATGATGTATATATATATATACAACAGGTTATTTCTTCATGTAAGACAATTATCTTTACATTAAGAAATATATAGTAAGGTATGCTGAATAATTGGGAGAGAAAATCTCGGTTTTCTCTCGCTAGTAAATTGCAGGAACCTCCGAGAAGCCACCAAGTGACATGTCTTCACCTCCTTGTACACCAAATTTACAAAATATGTGAACTGCCGAAATTTTTACATGATGCAAAACTGTGCGAGACTGTAATTTGATAACATTAAAACATCGTTACACAATTCATATTTTAATGATTAGTTTATATTAGGTTACGTTTAATTATGCTTATTTTTACGAATGTATTTCCTTATGTACATTAATGTATTGTACTTAAGTTAATATGAACCATTTCATACATAAAAATGAGGCTTTTGCTTACGCTTGTTTTGAACTTACCAGGAATTAAATAGATACGCGCGCTTGTTAAGTGGGTCAATTGGTAGTGAGGATGGGATGGTCGTGAGCTCATATATTAAAGGTACTGTATTTGATAGGATGTTACTCGCTGTACAAAAATCCCTTGAGCAAACCCCTGGTGAATTTTGTACATTTATTTTATTATTGTGGAGAAGAATAACCATAAATAATGTATTAATAACAAAGATTCAGTAATAGATGGTTTCAATATGTAATTGCTATGCCTCAGTAACTTTTACAAGAGGTCGAGGTTGATGTTCGGTAGCGTGGTTTAGATCTGGGAACAAGGTAATGAAACATGATGTGTGGTGAACTTAGATTATTTTACCACTGCTACGCCACTTTCCAATACTTTCCTCACATTTTACATAATTTATTTTACTCCGCTAAAATTACTGTAATCACTTAAAATTAAATTATACTTCAGAATTATATATAGATCGACTAAGTGAGATCATTTAAAGTGTTTGTGATGTAAAGCCGAGTTTATTAAATTGTGTGTTTTATACTGAGGTCCGTGTGGAAAGGTTTACAATTACAATTTACAAGGCTGAATCAATACATATGCATAATGAAAGTAAATGGCAGCTAACACCTTGCTGAAAAAAATGTTCACCTAAAACATCTTCTTAAACGTCTAAGATGTTCTAATTACGGTAACTTAAATTTTTAGGAGACTAAAATTCACGGGCCAATATTCGGGCAAGTAATGTAGTGTGGGGGATTATGTTCCGACAACCCCACTTTAAACAGCGGGAAACGAACCCACGACCTTTTGAACAGACAGATATGTAAGAACTGAAATTGCTGGGATTATATTCCTTGCATCAGGGTTCATACTCAGCAGACCTGGCAAAGCTAACGAGGCGAAATTCTCCGAAATAAATAACACAAAACCTACTACTGTACTGTAATCTCTTAATTTGGAAATAATATCTGTAAGCGATCATATTTTCATTACAGTATATTGAGCGAACAAGAAACAACATTTATAATAGCTGTAGACGAGCATTAAATGATATCATCATAACAGTTCCGTACATGGCTACATTACTGTACAGATATGTTAATTTGGTGTCGCTGTTTGAGTCAATAAAGTTCTTCCCTGTGGTGAGTGGGGGACTCAGGATTCTCAGTCTTATGTCACTTAATGCTCTTCCCGATAAATAGGGATGAAAGAAAGTATCCAGTTCAATAGGAGCCGAAGTTCTCCTTCACAACAGAGAAGATCTCCACACAGTCTCCGCAAACAAGCACACAAGTGCTCTACGGTGTTCGGGTCTGCATGATGGTGATGCAATCCATAAATGCAAATCTTGTGGGAACAGGAATAAACGAACTGCTCACGAGAAACTGGGTGTTGTTAGCCGGCCTCCCGTTACGAACACTTATGAGAGCAGACGATACAACCAACTGTACCTAACCTAACAGTCTTAGGTTAAGAACTTGAATAGGTTAGTGTCGTCTAGTTAGAAATAGTTTAGCGACCTACAGTACAGATATTAACGTACTTTGTGTGGCGAATTTCTATGTAACAAATCACTTTGTTCCTCATCATCCGTTACAATAGGTTCCGTTAGTTCAACACCTTTCAAGTAACTAATCTTGTATGCCATACCTTCAATAAACCAGGTCGTGGTTCGCCCGTGAAGGGTATGAGGCGACGCCATGGAAATTTTAAATATTTCGTATGATAATTTTTGTCTCAGGGCCAGTGCTACGTGAAATCATCACGTTAAGGCTGAGTTTCAGAGTAATCCGGTATAATTTTAGACATAACTGTTGTCCTATACATTAAGAGAGCCAATCAGGTATAATCTTTGAGATTGTCACCCGTGTGGTGGTGTACAGTACAGTACAATGTGAAGTAGTCGCCACGAGTGTTGCTAATTTCAGGAACAAAGCTAATAAAAAACAAACCTGTAAAGCTAAATAACATAATTTTTTTTTGCGAAGAGAAAGAGAGAGAGAGAGAGAAGTTCCGCAACTCGACCGATCAAATTGTCTAGCCTTCAACTCCTAAAGATTTTCATTTTTTTTACTTCCACAGAGCTAACAGATTCACCAGTAAAATCATTGTAACCGATCCACGTTTGAGCGACGGTGTCGGCCTCTTGTTTATCAATTAAAACTAATTAGTCACAATTTCCGAACTATATTTCATTAGTATGTATTCTATGGTAATTAACTTGGCGCATTTTAACAGTTTTAAGGTTTGCCATTTTGAAGAAAACGAATATATTTCGTTTTGAATCGAGAGGAGAAATTACTCTTGTGTTGACAACATATAGTGAAGGTATCGCACTAGCCACTGAAACCCTTGGTCCTTGGACTGGGCAATTTTTAGGCTAGGTTGAGGCCAGCCCAGCAGTGCCTACCCCATTAGAGTGATACGCTGCCTGGTGGTGGAGCAGATGCGTCCGCTACCAAAATATGAAAGAAATCACAAAATTTATATCACGCAAAAAATATTACTCGTGTACTTTTCGTCGTTGTCATGAGGCAAGGAAGCATTTATTGTATGTTCTATGGTGAAGTTTAATACAGGAGATAGTTGAGGCGCTCAAGTCATCCGACTATTACTACAGATTTCTGCAGACAAACACCAGAGATTTTCATTTATATGTTGATTTCAGCATACTGTATATTTATTGTTTTATCATTCTTACACATTATTTTAATAGGGGAGATTACTACAGGATGCTATCACTGGACCCAGGGGCATCAATGGCGAGTTAGGTCGCGCCTTAAAAGACACCTGCGGTATTCGTATGGCAGTGTGGGGCGTGTTCGGGTGTTTTGTGACAGTTGATATGACTAACGGGTTTACTTGCAACATAAACAATACAGTATATGACTTCTGAAATAAAACCTTATATTTCTTGCCGGAAAATTTTCGGTTCTCGTCTAAAAGCACCCAGAGTGTAAACTGGTTACATCGTCATAGATAAGACGGGGTTTGGTGGATAAACAAATGGCGATTGAATCAAATAACACGAGGAAGATAGTCAAATTATGATTTGTGGTTACTTACAACCCATCATAATTTTTCGTGCTCGTCCCCCTTGTTGTTTTAACTGCATTCCGTTTTCCAATACAGTATTTAGATTTTAGAGAATCACCCATTCAGATGCCGGTGTACCGTGCGTGGATACCTGTTACATATAAGGAGAAGGCCAGTGTACCGTGGCTATTGTCACAGTGGGTGTCCTCGCTGCCACACTCACAAGAACATTGAGCCCTATAGCGTGAGGCTCCCCAGCACGAGGCTTAACCTGATATGGACGACGCTGTTGGCTCATCACCGAGGATTTCGCCAATTGGTCAATAACTGGCCATTAAACACTGTCTCGTGTTGGGGAAATAATTTAGAAATAAACGTTACACTTCCTATTCAAGTTAAATAATTTCTTTACTATTACAGATATTAACAGTATTGCAGTTCGTCAGGTAAAGACTAAAGCAACATTTATATACCATCCACAATGAACGATATGATGTTACTGTTGACGATAAGAGATAATGGTTGTAACCGACTCTTTACGAAGTTTATTAATGTATTCATTTGTGGAACATGTGAAACGCTTGTGCTTTATTTATGTAAGAATTAATACAAACAATTTAACAACAAGACTATTACCATCTTGATAGTTTAGTTAAATCAACAAATAAATGGTAGATGGAGATTTACACACAAGATAAATGAAACATGATAAATAGACCGCTACTTGAACGAAAGTATAATGTGAAGCAGTTTAGAGAATAAATACAATGACACTGACATTCTCGCTAAAGAAATATTAATGAAACAAGTGAGGTACCAATAGTTAATTTAGGCCAATCAACACTGAAAGCCCCAGTGCGCTGTCAGCAAGAAAACGGGAAGATGGTGGGTAAAGAGACTGTACCCGATGTGAACAACTTTTCGTGCTGGTCCCCCATGTTCCAGCACCCAACGTCACCCTCAGCAGTGGACATCATCAAGGCCGTGTGCTCCTCACTCTTGGGCATCCTCGTCATCGTCGTCAACACCATTTTCATTGTGGCAGTGAATGGCAAAACTCACGCCAAGCATCTGTCCTTCCAGGTGAGTTGTCTGAATTATTTTGTGTATGACGGTATGCGTGTGTTTATGTTTGTCTAAATGTTGATATATATATAACGTATTTAACTATTTATATAAACTAATACCGTGCTTGTTTACATGTCAACCCATTCGTCACGCCCGGGATCCATAACTTAACCGTTCCAAATAATTCGATGAAACGGTTGACAGGAGTATAACAGATCATTCATCAACAAGATTTACGTCACTATGTCAAATTTCACTACGAAAAAAGAAAGAAAAACTGGGCCGTCTCCAGATTTTTGCCGGGGAGGGGGGGGGCTCACCATCAGCATGTATGGTGTAGGTCGCTCTGTGAGGCTCGGTGGGGTTGAACACACCGAGGGGGTCCTGGGGGGGTCCCGGGGGATTTGTTTTTTGGAGTTTGGTTGTTTATGGTACATTTTGATCGTAAAAAATAAAATTTATGTTATGTTGTATTTTTTAGGGGGGGGGGGGGACAAACAAAGGTTGTTTGATCTGCTCACTCCACCTGGCCCTGCCAACCCGCATACAAATACACTATTAGGGATGAATTTTGTTTTTTATGTCAAATATGTCAGTGGAGGTTTTACATACAGGGCATCCCCCCCCGGACACACACACACACAGACACACACACACACACACTCTGTGTTTACAGCATGTATGTAAAACTTCATCATGAACACAAAAGTACAAAACAGGTCGATCTTTATGGCCGCTGTGTCGCACTTGTGCAGTGTGATGCCCAGTGATGCAGCAGTTTTTAGTGGGCTCTTGGGCGCTGTTAGCGACGGTATTCTTTAATTACGTTGTCAGCAGCACAGCGGCGTCACTGTATATATAGAGTGCAATATCCACTTTACAAATCTCGCAGACAGTTGCTGGTACACGACATTAACGCAGGATATTTATATATATAAGAAATCATCAATAAACGAGTTTTGGGCTGTATCTGTCTGATGTCATATGTTATTGTATGAATTATTCTCAACTGTTCCATTTTTATCACAGTGACAATTATAGTAATAAGGGAAGCCTCCATAACAAGCTGTTCCGGCGTGGCAGTAACATTAGCTCAGAGTAGATCCTGATGGTGCTCAGTCTTCCTCTGTTGACAGGTAACTGACCATCACCACACTCATAAAGGCTCTCACAAACTCTTAAGAGGCTCCTCATCGGAAGGACAACATTATCATTGAACGTCCAGACTGGAATTTGGCCGCCAGCGCTGCCGAAAACTTTTATTTTCTTACGATTTATGTAGGAAGGTCGGCCAGGCTGCCTTGGGTCCACATTCTAGAGGGTCCTCACTGATACTGTTCCTCGTAACACACGATGTAAAACTGTACTAATTGGTTCACTTAAAATATAAACCCCAAAACACCAAACTATTACTTAACTAGATTATATAGTTCACTTAACATCCAAACATCATTAAGGTACACGATCTCTAAGTGAAGTGAAGGAATAATATATAGTTAAGGTAGATTATCCGTAAAACTTTGACGTTATAATCTTGTTTCAGCTCGAGTCAACCAATTAGACACACTGTTACACCTTGAGGTACAAGGAACATTCATCACACGAACCCTGATGAATCCGAACCCTGGACAAAGAGACCAAGTTCCAATCGATAATATTTCCCATAATCCTCATTAAAAACACACAATCAACTGAGTCATGAGCCACCACACAAAACTTCCCGTATAATGAAGAAGTTTAAACGGTCGTTCCAGACATGTTGTGGGAGGGAAGATGACAATACCGAAAGACTCGTCACTCGGTTCATCAGAAATTCATACATTAAGTTTTTACCCCCCAAATGAGGACATGGAAACGTATTTAATTTCGGTGATCGCTGTGAGATTTTGGGGGGAATATTTTACTTGTAGATTAATTAAGACAGGTAACTGCGTCTCTTTTCATTAACTGTTAGAGCAAAAAGCTTAAACGTACAGCGCTTTTAAATTCATACCCGTACTGTTTATGTACACTTGTATACATGCACTGTTTATGTACACTTGTATACATGCACTGTTTATGTACACTTGTATACATGCACTGTTTATGTACACTTGTATACATGCACTGTTTATGTACACTTGTATACATGCACTGTTTATGTACACTTGTATACATGCACTGTTTATGTACACTTGTATACATGTACTGTTTATGTACACTTGTATACATGTACTGTTTATGTTCACTTGTATACATGCACTGTTTATGTACACTTGTATACATGTACTGTTTATGTACACTTGTATACATGCACTGTTTATGTACACTTGTATACATGTACTGTTTATGTACACTTGTATACATGCACTGTTTATGTACACTTGTATACATGTACTGTTTATGTACACTTGTATACATGCACTGTTTATGTACACTTGTATACATGCACTGTTTATGTACACTTGTATACATGCACTGTTTATGTACACTTGTATACATGTACTGTTTATGTACACTTGTATACATGCACTGTTTATGTACACTTGTATACATGTACTGTTTATGTACACTTGTATACATGCACTGTTTATGTACACTTGTATACATGTTTATGTACTTGTATACATGTGTATGTACACTTGTATACATGCACTGTTTATGTACACTTGTATACATGCACTGTTTGTGCAGTACATGCACTGTTTATACTTGCATGCACTGTTTATGTACACTTGTATACATGCACTGTTTATGTTTATGTGTATACATGTATACACTTGTATACATGTTTACACTTGCATGTACACTTGTATACATGTATATACACTTGTATATACTGTATATATATATATATATATATATATATATATATATATATATATATATATATATATATATATATATATATATATATATATATATATATATATATATACTGAATCAATGTAAACATGTATGTCAATTTTACCGAATTATCTTTATATCTATTTAACATTTTTACGTCATAACTTATGGATCACCTGAAGATTAGCCCCCCCCCCCAGTTTATTTTACCTGATGATTAAATGCGACTGCAATCTACAGTAGAGGTTAGGTTGGCTTGGGTTAGGTTAGGATAGGTTAGGTTAAGATGGATTAGGTTAGGTTAGTGCTAATCTTCAGGTGACCGGAATATTGACACATGTTTGTTACTTTATAGACACACTAACGCCATACCTACCTAGTCTAGTCTTCTTCAACACAACAATATCTGGAATGGGACCAAACTTACCCAGAAACACACTTGGTACTGTCCACTGGCCCTCTCTCACACCTCTCTTTCTCACACCTATTCTTTGACCATCATCAATACTACATTACACCTACCACTATTACCCTACACCTACCACCATCCACACCTACCACTATTACCCTACACCTACCACCATCCACACACACACTCTCACCTACCACCATCCACACCTACCACTATTACCCTACACACCACCACCTGCACCTGCACCACATCCACCTACCACTGTTACCCTACACCTACCACCATCCACACCTACCACACCCTACACCTACCTACCTACCACCCTGCACCTACCACCATCCACACCTACCACTATTACCCTACACCTACCATCCACACCACCCTACACCTCCACACCTGCCACCTACCCTACACCTACCTGCCATCCACCACCACCACTGTTACCCTACACCTACCACTCCACCTACCACTATTTGCCTACACCCACCACCTCCACACCTACCACTATTACCCTACACCTACCACCTCACACCTACCACTATTACACACCCCACCTCCACCACCACCACCACCCCCCCACACCACCTCACACACCACCATCCACCTACCACTGTACCCTACACTACTCCACACCTGCCACTGTTACCCACACCTACCACTGTACCTACCACCATCACACCTACCACTGACCCCTACACCATCCACACCACACCTACCACCTGCACCCTACACCTACCACCATCCACACACACACATACCACATTACCCTACACCTACCACCATCCACACACACCACTGTTACCCTACACCTACCACCCCCACACCTGCCACTCCACACCATCCACCTGCCCTGTTGCCCTACCTGCCACCCCTCACCTACCTCCACACCACTACACCCTACCCACACACCCCGCACCACCATCCACACCTACCTACACCTACCATCCACACCTACCACTACCTACCACCACACCTACCACCTACTACCCACCACACCTACACACCACCCACCTACCACCATTGTTACCCTACACCTACCACCATCCACACACTACCACTATTACTACACCTACCACCTTACCACTACACCTACCTACCACTACCCTACTACACCTACCACCATCACACCTACCACTATTACCCTTCACCTACTTACAGTTATAGGGAGAGAGAGTGACAGCTGTGTTGGCGGGTGGCCAGGCCGGGTTGTCACTGTCTCCTCTTCCTCCTCCTCCCCCTCTTCTTCCTCCTCCTCCTCCTCCTCCTCCAACTCCTCCTCCTCCTCTTCCTTCTTCTCCTTCTCCTCCTCCCCTTCCTTCTTCCTCTCCTCCCTTCCTCCTCCTCCTCTTCCTTGTCCTCCTCCTCTTCCTCTCCTCCTCCTCCTCCTCTTCTTGTTCTTCCCCCTCCCTCCTCCTCCTCCTCCTCCTCCTCCTCCTCCTCCTCTCTCCCTCCTCCTCCTCCTCTTCCCTCTTCCTCCTCCTTCTCCTCCCTCTCTTCCTCTCCTCCCTCCTCCTCCTCCTCTTCTTCTCCTTGCCCCTCCTCTCCTCCTCCTCCTCCTCCTCTTCCTCTTCCTCCCTCCTCGTCTTCTCTTCCTCCTCCTCCTCCTCCTCCTCCTCCTCCTCCTCCTCCTCTTCCTCCTTCCTCCTCCTCCTCCTCCTCCTCCTCTCCCTCCTCCTCCTCCTTCCTCCTCCTCCTCCTCCTCCTCCTCCTCCTCCTCCTCCTCCTCCCCTCCTCCTCCTCCTCCTCCTCCTCCTCCTCCTCCTCCTCCTCCTCCTCC